AAAAATTCCACACAACTCTCAGTTTGAAAACTTTACAAACTAAAATATTGCTGCTGGTTTGAAACTGCCCTACTGAACTGAAACCTGATTGTGAACTGAACTCAAAAAAACTAACGGTCCTGTACTGTTTCCTCTGTATGTGATAAAAATTCCACTTTGGAAGCATTCGATCAATTAACACCCTGGCTAACCTGATAGGCACTTACTAAGTCACATGCTTTATTATAAATCATGTATTTACTTCAATGTCCCAAATTACTTTCTGACCTCTTAAAAAAATTACCTTCACAGAACTGAAACCTAAATCTATATTACCTCTACTTTAAAACGACAAATTTCCAAATTACAAAAATATATTGTACACATTATCACAAAACAATTGTTGAAAGTTATTCAAGTAAACACTTATTAAATTATTTGTTAAAATACAGATTCAAAGATTTAAAGTAAGTGAGGATGAATGTCACAAATGAAGATGAAATTGATATCAGTCTCTACTATGAAGCAGGCCTGGCTTGCTTGAAGATTCTCTTTCTGACCTGAAGGCGTTGAAAACTTGGGTGCAATGTAGTCAAATAGCTGCCATAGTAAACTAAGCAGAATATGTTTTGGAAGTGAGCGCAGGCTCCTTACTTTCATTTTTATGGCACTACCAGTTCTGACTATCGGTAGTCTGGTTTGGTGCAGCAAATCTGGAAACCTTCTTCCATCTCCTTTTTGAAAAGCAGTTACTGCTTTAAAATGTTTCTCACATTTTTAAAACAAACATTTTGTGGAACAAAGCCAGCATTTTCTGCCCATCTCTAATTGCCCTTGAACTGAGTGATTTGGGAAGCTTACTTCAGTGGGCAGTTAAGAGACAACCACGTTGCTGTAGCTCGGTAGACATATTTACAGCCAGCCTTCCCAAAAGACGTGTGAACCAAATGTGCTTCTGCAACATCATTGAAACTGGGTTTCAATTCCATTATAAATTGAATTTAAATTCCACCACTTGCTGAGGTGGGATTCAAACCCCTGGCCAAAGATCATTAACCTGGGTCTTTAATAACTAGTGTAGAAATGTTACCCCCTTCTCCTCTTCTGCATGAAACAGTTGTTCACAATCAGACTTCTATGCAGTTCAAAACTTAAAATAGCTGCTATCCCAAAACTGTTGAATTTTGCCTCTGTATTAGGTATTGAATTATCTTAGATCTGGGGCATGAACCCATTCATTATATTTTAGTTAGGTATTTTTTCTTAACTGCTTTAGCCATTATCTTGGATGGTTCTTATTCTGTTAGTCTTTTGGAGAGATAAGCACAGCTATTCACAACTTCAGGGAAACCACTGTCAAAGACTTTCTATTTACTGTTGGAAATATCTGTTGGACTTCAAAATGTCTGGTCAATTTCTTCTTGACATAAGTACTGTATACTATGGTCTGGTCTCAATACCACTGAGTACACAAGGATGGTCACGTCACTTCTGAGAACCATCTTGTAAGATTCTTTGCATCTATTTTAAAGCTCAATTAATTTTCTTTGTAAAATATGTAACATTGTAACAAAACAAATATTACAAACCTTTTTAAAATTTTTATTGGCATACTGGGTCAGACTGATTTTGAAGCAGCAAATGGGGGTCACAGTGGAATAGATCTTGGGAAGCATTTCTTTACAATACATAAGCACACGTTTTAATTTCATGTAAATATTAAGGTGTGAGCCTTGGTGCAGTGGTCACACTTCCAACTGAGTCACAAGTTTATGGGTTCAAATCCTGCTTCTGGAATCAGCACCTTCACCACCTCTCAGATGAGTGTAAAAGTGCCATGGCATTATTCAAAGAAATAAAATGGACAGTTCTCTCAGTCCTGGCAAACCCTGAACCATCAAGTAACAGTCAGAACAGATGATCTGGTCATTTCGTTGCTGCATAAAAAATGACTCCCACTTTTCATAATTACGCCATTGACCACATAAATGTGTTTCATTTCCTGTAAAGTGCTCAATGTCTAGAGTCTGTGAAAGATGTTACATTAATGCAAGTTTCTCTTAATTTATTTTAATTCCCACTTATTTTGTTCAAAAATCTCTGCAATGAGTTTTTCAATTAAATTTGTCATCCTTCTTAATTGAGTAACATTTTGTCCTTTAGTTTGTTCCCTTAGTGTTTTGGCAAAGATCTGTAGCTCGGGTTGTAGATGAGGTTGTTGACTTGTTCGCTGAGCTGGCTTGTTCTCTTTCATACGTTTTGTCACCATGCTAGGTGACATCATAGTGGAGCACTGATCCACTGATGATGTCACCTAGCATGGTGACGAAATGTCTGAACAAGAACAAGTCAGCTCAGCAAGCAAGTCGACAGCCTTGTTCCATTAATTTATTTCTATTCCTATATCTAAAATATATTGTTAGACTAAAACATTCTCCACTGTAAGATATAATCTTCCCATAAAGTAGCATATCATGTATAAATATGAAACAACTATGGAATTCAAGTGCTAAAACTCTCACTAAGATACCCACAAGTTTGACTTATTCAACTATCATAAAGAAATGACGCTCACGTTAAACTAAATACGAAATCCCATAAGATATTCTCTGACTCACCCTAAGCGGCGCCAAAGCTGATCATCGAGTAAATATAAAAATCTTGCGTTTAATGTGCATCCATCAGTCTTCAGGTAATCAACTTCAATGTGGCAAATGCATTGAGTAAAAGAAAGAAAATTAATAATTTAGTACCTTCTCCTCCTGTCCTTTGGCATCAATTGGGGATTATGCCTCACTGTCAATCTACAAAAAAACATCACCTCCAGTAAGACTTTGGCCTCTAATTGGCTTCAGGATTTGCCTATTTACACCTCCTAGAGTCTTTAGACCACAGTCACACGAGTACACTACTCCATCTCAGCAGCAGAATAATTCATTACATGCTATATCCTAAAATGTATCTGTCCTTAAAAGAACCATGAATTCTAAAATTTACTACAAAGAAGATTTATATAAAGAAAAACAGAAAATAGAGGGATGTTGTCCAGATTTGATGATATCCAATGTGATGTAACTATGGCTTTAAGAGGTGTATTTTGTCTGTTTTTTTTGTGAAGAGATTGAGACAGAGGTATTGAGTGGTCTGCTTCAAGCCAATAAAGTAAACAGCTTGTGAGGCCTTGGATTTTTTTTTAAAGTAGGAACAATAGAAGCGACCTGAAAGCTCCCACAGAACCAGGAACTTTAGTATCATTTTTAATAGCTGTTGAGGTTGTGAAAGCTACTATCTCTCTCTCTCTCTCTCTCTCTCTACAGCTAAAAGCTTGGGTTCTCTTCCTGCTGCTGGAATTGCATGTGTGACAAGGGTGTGCTAATGGGATGTCACTATATCAGAAAAGTTAATGAGTAATTTATTATTTTGTTAAGTATTTTGATAGAGTTACAATTAAACCATTTTTTAAAATTTTAGTTTGTCTATATTTTAACTGTAGTGCATGAATAAAGTTTTGCTTCAAACCTGATAGTTTGACCAATCAGATTGCATCCAGAATGCAATGCCTGGCACTTGCCTTTAAAATTAGAAAAAGTTATGGTTATTGACATGTTTTGAGAGAGTTTGTTGTGATCTATAACACCAGAGATTGTTGATTCAGGGAATCAGGGAAGCCCAAATTTTCCTCAGATCACTTCTAAACCACTTACTCCTCACATTAAATGTAAGCCCTCTGGTCTTAGACATGTCTGCCATGAGGAAAAGATTCTCACGATCTACTCTGTCTCGGTGTCTCATAATTTTGCATACCTAATCAGATCCACCCTCAGCCTCCTCTGATCCAGGGAAGACAAAGAATATCTCTGTATCCAGTCTCTGCTCATAACTGACACTTTCCATCTCAGGAAACATTGGTGAAACTCCTCTGCACATTGTCCAGCGTAATCACATCTTTCTGATAGTGCAGTGAACAGAACTGCCCAGTATTCCATCTGTGGCCTAACCAATGTTCTATAAAGTTGTAACACGATTTCCCTGCTCCTATATTCTACCCCGGCTAATGAAGGAATCCTCTGTGCCTTCTTCACCACCCTGTCTATCTCTGCTGACATCTTTAGGGAATTAAGGAATTGAACACCGAGGTCGCTTTGTTCTTCAGTGTTCCCTAGGGACCTACCATTCATTGTGTATACGCTTACCTTATTAGACCTCCCAACATGTATCAGGTCACACTTATTGAGATTAAATTCTATCTGCCATTGCTGTGCCCAATCTACCAGCTGATCAATATCAGACTGCAGTCTGAGACCATCTTCCTCGCTATCAACAACACTGCCAATTTTCATTTCATCTGTAAACTTACTAATTGTACCTTCTATTTCTACACTCACATTCTGTAATCCCAGAATTGGAACCATACCTACCATGGACAAGATAGGCTAAAATTTGCTCTCTCGAAGTGATTGTTAATAATACTGTTGTTAATATTACATGTTCAGGCCATCCTTGTCACTTCAAAGGCATTTAATCTCGTCTCCATGCTACTATAAAGTTATACATGGCATTAGCTCGGATATCAATGGAGGCTCAGTTAGCTGGAGAACTGATTTGTAATGTAAGGTAACACCAACAGCATGGATTTATTTCCCACACCAGCAGTGGTTATCATAAAGGCCTTTCCTTTCCAACCTCTACCCTTGCCTGAGATGTGGTGACTCTCGGGTTATAAACCATCACCAGTTACCTTGACTATTTATATTGAATATGTCCCCTTGTTTTAACAAAAAGAGGCATTTGAAGAACTAATTGATAATTTCTTTCGATAATTTAATGCGGCGATGGGAAATTCCAATTCGCTAAATCACTGCGGGGACATTTGCAATTTCTGGGGTTTTTTAAGATTGATTTTGGATCTGCAGTAGCCGTAGTTCTGCATTTGCTCACTCGCGTTCACTGAGACATCAACCTCCCCATCAACATCGCTTTGCGCTGGGGAGGACACTGCACCATCTGCGCCTGCGCGGCTTTCCGGGCCGGTTTCCACGGAGACGGCTGTAAACACTCGGAGGGCGATCCCGGGAAAGATGGCGGTCACTTTAGGTGTCGACAGAAGTTTCGATTTCGACGTCCACCTGGACGAACGCATCCATGAACTGACACTTGAGCAACTCCAGGAATTAGTGGACAAGATCAGGTAAGGTACCAGCCCCTAAAAAATGCGAATACAGAGTGCAATCACAGAGAAGGGAGATAACCGGCAGCGGCCCGTGGAAGGGAGTCCTGCTCAGTGTCTCCAGGACTTTCTTTTTCAGGTTTTACTCCGGATTTCCAGAACACACCAGCCTGTTGCTTTTGTAAATCCGACCTGATAATGGTAAAGAACGAGACGGTTATTCGCGCTGAGCTACAATGAAGTCGGCATTGTACTAGCGCCGTCCTAAGTGGCATCCATCCAGCATCGCGGGCCGCTCCAGTACGAGTGCAATGCACGTTTGGGAAGCGTCTTCTATTTTTTGAGGGGGCGGGGGTTGAAGTAATTAATTGAAACACTATGACATGTGGTTTCTCTCGACGATCTCAGGTGAAGGGTTAAGGCTGACAATGCAGGGTCCCACCAAAGATGAAGACGAGAAAGGGAGCCAGTTCTCTTTGGCAGCTTCTTGCTTTTTCGCACCTTGCTTTGATGGGTCAGTTCTGTGTTGAGCGTCTTGCTTGGCTCTCGAAAGCCCACTCTGGTCTGACAGATTTTGGCACATTTGCTATATGCCAAAGTCCCGCCAATTAAGAATTAAGGAGGAAACAGTTACTTACCATATTACATACAACACTTCAGTACAGACTTCAAAAATTGTGAAGGGTTTTGGGACGTCTAGTTATCCTGAAAAGCTCTACCTAAATGCAAATTTCTTATTCTGTCAAGATAACTCTCCAATATAATGCATTGCCTTAACATGCAGTGACTGTAATTAAGTGGATAGTTACAAAAATTCAGCTGCACTGAAAGGAGTGTTTGATTAATTCATCTTTGGTGAAGTGAGTAGTGTTGACCAGAAGACTGAAACACAGACACACTGATGAGGGAGAACCTGGTCTTCTCTTTTGACACAAGTAGTAGTACCAATCTGGAACTTTTTTTTCCCCAAAAGGCCAAAGACGCTTTGAAACAGAAGCTTTCAAGGCTGATCTCAAAAATTATGGAAGAAAATGGATAGACAGATCAGATTGAATACACGCCAGGCATAAACGAACATTATGGCCGTCTCTGTTTTGAATATTCTTTGGGGAGATTATGGAATGGAATAGAATGGAAAGTAGGCCCACCTTACTTTGTAATACATATTCACATCATTACAATGGGATTGGGTGTTACACCTTGCCAGCACTTCTTGTTTTTTGCTTCTTTAGTTTAGCAGCCACTGCATCTTCCTAAGGACTCTTTGTAATGTAGTTGATTTTAAAAACAATACATTCTGAAGCAGAAAATCTCTTATAATACTGTCTGATTACCATTTGTTAATTTGACAATTAGAAATTGTAATCTTTGTAATTGGTAATAGCTGTCAGACATAAGAGTTCAGGAAAGGGAGAGGTAATGTTCTTTTCCAATTTAATTTGTTTTTAAACAGCAGAATTTTGAAAGCTGTAATCACCACATTTTTCTTAATAATAACTAGGATGTATACTGTGCCTTGTAGCTGTGTATGACAGAAAAAACAAATGTGTTAACGAACCAAGCGCAAAACAGCCAAGTTCAAAGTTTACAGAGGAACCTTACAAAGCAGTGCTTTAAGTCATGAGATAAACAGATACTCCTCCACCCTCATCACAATCAATGTTCAGCAGTCTTATTATGCTTTGCATGATATTAGCAACTTCTAAAAAGGTAAAAAATTTAAATATGGGTAAAAGGATTAACATATTTTTAAAAAACCTCTTTACAGTTTCCACGGAAAAATGGACAAGGTTGTCAAATACAACATCAAAGCACCAGTATAAATCTCAAAATGTAACTTACTTTAGTCACTTTGGATATTTGACCATGTTCAATTTTATATTCATATTGTTACGATCCCCATCAAGACAAAAGAAATATGAATGATACAGCTACTGACCAAAAGTTGCACAAGATTTAATGTTTTTCTAACAAACTAACTTAAATTTACATAGACTAAAAATTACTTAAAGGTAACTTATATATCAGGCTAATTCCATCAGATTTATGTAGCCTTGGAGCTTAAGTCCCACACTCTGGCTGGCTCAGCAGTGTTTCTTCTTGTTGCTACACCAGCCTGAGTCTTCCAGTATCACTTGAAAGCAGTTTCCCTCGATCCCCTGAGTATCTCTAAACTGACATCCAGAATCAAGGCCCACAAAGAAAACTCCTTGGTCCTTATATGTCCACATGTTCTATTGCTTTAAACAGAAAGCAAGTATTCCTTGATATCCTACTTAGTAACACAAAACCATCTTTTCCCCTGCTTTTCACAGCAGTAGCTGTGTTTGGTACTCCTCTCTGGGACTCTGTGTCTGAGAATCTGTGTCCAAAAAAAACGGATACCCCTCTTTTCTGTGAGAACTGCACAAAGTGGCACTTGATTTTCAATAGGTTTTCGCTTGGGCCTCTTTCCTTCAGCCAGAGTTTTGTATGATTTCATTACCCGCATTCTATGACATTCTGTGTTATTTTACATAAAGGACACAGCTTAAAACAAATAAATGTTTCATAAGGTCCCACTTTGTAAAAATATCAATGACACTGCTTGGTTGTATGATTCTGAATCACCATGTATTGGCAATGCAGAAGGTGTCTTATGCTTTTATACATTTCTTGTCAACCTATTCAATTTTAAATATTGACATTTAAAATGGAAACTGACTTTGTAAACAAATCCTTGCTGTGATTACACTCTCTTGCCATTGGATCACCACTGGCTAGAGGGTGTAATCACAACTCCACAAGAGATTGACTAACTTGATTTTTTTATTAATATTAGTAGTTTTTGAAATTGTGAAGAAAAATCTCAACCTCTTTAAGTTTACAAAGCATCCTTGAACTTTACCTACTCAACTACTTTGAATACCTACTCGAGCAAACACTAATCAGCAGATCTACTGTTAAGCTTGCCTATGCTGAATAAATCAAATTGACTTTACAAAATTAGATAGGGATCAGCACATTGATGACTTGGAAAGGCTGTAATTTTGATTGCAGTCAAATAAGGGTTGATTTTCTTTTAAGGTATTTAATCAGTTGTTAATCAGTGATGCAAATCCTGACCAATCAGCTAAAGTTTAATAAACTTATTGCTAATGTGATATATTAAATTATGACATGGTAAAGTTGCTGATATTGTAATATTTAAGAGGGATTGAAATATTGTGGTGAACTAGAAGTAACTAAATGTTCCATTTTATACACTCTGAACAGCTCACAAGCTCTTATGTAAACCATGCTTTGTTTTATAAACCCCTGACAAAATGTGTATATCAGTGATTTGTTTATTTCCATATGTAGTATTTCCAATGAAGCCTTGAAGATTGAGTCTGATATGCTTGATAAGTACTATGACCGTGTGGTGCCCAAGGAATTGGTCCTTCAAGCCCAAGATCAAACACAGGAACTAGCCCAGTTGGCACAGGTAGTACCCGCAAAGCGGCATTTCTCAATAGTTTATAATGTTTATAATCTAAAAGAAAGGGACCTAAAATATCTGTGGCAAAATTTTGATACACAAAAATGTTATGAAGAGACATAATGCTACCTGATTGCCTATATTTTGTTGGAGTATTACTTTTGGGTGACTGAGAAAAGAGGAACTCTGGGTTTACACTATAGTGCTTGGATTCCTGCATTGGGTGTTGGCCCAAATTAGTGGTATAATGAAGGAATGTGAATCTGAGATTGAGCTCAACAGGGATTAGTTAAATTTTGCAGCATTTCTCTTTAAACATTATGAATATTTTAAATTATTCCATGAATGGCAGGATAGCTATTTGATAACATGATGGCAACAAGAAATCTTGCTCACTTCCTGAACATATGGAAAAAATTGTGTACTTGTCTATCAGCTAATTATAACCAGTATGTGCCCAGGAAATCACACCATCCCTTTTCCCTATATACTTCCATAATGTGAGTTTTGCAGTCAGGGTCTTTATCAGATAGCGCATAAATCACACAAATAAATTTGAATGTGACTGAATTTGCAAAGTTGACTTCACCTGCCCACTGTGCATGGTGTATTGGTGTCACTTTTCTAGCACCAGCATGCCTGTAATTCTATTGACACTCTGTCACAGTCCTGACAGTATCCATCAGAAATGCAGGAAATAATGAGCCAAGCCAAGCAATAGCTTTACCAGTTGGAGACAGGTAGCATCAAGAATGAGCTACACCAAGAAACCCATATAATGTCTTAGCCAAATGGCTAAATAAACCAAAGAGAAGTTAGCTCGCAGCTTTGTAAGCCAACGATATGTAGGAGAGGAAAAGTTGAGAAACAATAATGATCACACAAGTTTGATTATAAAATGTGAAGTTCAGAACCTAAAATATTCGGTAAATCTTGCAGGGGAGGTCAAGGCATCGATCCCGGACTCGTGCTGTGGCAGTAGAGCGTCTTTTGATGTTAACAGCAGAGCAGAAGTGCAACATTGCTTATAGAGAACTAGAGGAAACAAAAGAAATACTATCAAAGCTGAAGCAGGAGTCAGACCACACAATTCGGAATTTACAGGTAAGGGTCAATCACAAGCCATTCTGTGCAGTTAGTGACTTGACTCCAACCAGATACTGTGGAGACAGCCAGTACTAAATTTCAAATATTTATAAGCGCCAATTGCATCTAAAGTTAAATTGGAAGTCTATCAGTGCTAAATTATTATATTTAAGACTCCACAGAAAAGAATGGATAGAATTATGGAATATAAATCCCTACTTGAGTAAAAAAATCTACAATTAATGATATAATTAAACAGAATATTACAGTGCTGGGGACAGAAGATGTCATTTGAGGAGTTAAGTACATAATTTATTTAATTAGAGATAAGAAAAAAATGGGGTTACAATTATACTACTGGGTGTACTTTGTAGATCACCAGGGAAGTTATGTAAAGATGTATCAGCTATAAAATAGCAATAATAAGGCACTACTGCAATTATCCTAATATAGACTGGGATAGTAATTGTGTAAAAATTAGTGAGGAGGAAGAGTTTCTGAAGCAGCAGCATTTTCTTAATGAATACATTTCTGGTCCAGTTAGGAAGGAAGCTTTGCTGGTTCTGATTCTGGGGAATGGAGTTGGTCAGGTGAATTAATTATCATAAGGGGAACGTTTAGAGAACAGTAATCATAGAATCATATGGTTTAGGAAAGCGCCAGCAAATTTCAGGGAGGAATCTACAGTAAAAATATTAATTTGAATGAAGGGTAATTTCAGTGAAATGAGAATTGATGTGGCCCAGTTAAATTGGAATCACTTTTGGCAGGCAAGGCTAGAATTGAGCTTAGTTTAAGGAGGAAAAGATTTAGGTATAGTCTTGGCACATTCCTTGGTACATTCCCACTGTGGGGAAAAAGTAGGGCAACCAAAATCATAGCTCCTTTGATCATGAAAGAGATAAAGAGTAAGAATGAAGCAGAATGGGGCATGTGGCAGACATTGAGAATACAAACGAGTGGTAGGCTGGTTATAGAAAATACAGAGGAGAAGTAAAAATAGAAATGAGAGGCAAAGAGAGAGGATGAGAATAGAGTGGCAGCCAACATGAAACGAGAATGCAAAAGTCTTGTATAGGCAGATAAATAGTAAATGGGTAGTAGGAGGAGGCGGGACTGATAATGGACCAAAAGGGAAACCTACAAATGGAGGCATCGACCATGTGTGAGGTACTAAATGAATATATAATTTAGAATCCCTACACTGTGGAAGCAGGCCATTTGGCCCATTGAGTACACACCAATCCTCCAAAGAGCATCCCACCCAACCTCCTACCCTACCCCAATAACCCTGCATTTCTCATGGCTAATCCAGCTTGCCTGCACATCACTGGACACTATAGGCAACTTAGCATGGCCAATTTACCTAATGCATATAATACATCTTTTTTTTTAAACAAAAGAAGCATGTGCCACCAAAACTGCAGTGAAAGGAGAGATGGTTAAAACATTGGATGGGCTGAAAACTAATAAAGAAAAACTGGAAAGGTGTTCCTAAAGTAGCTTGGTTACCAGGTATGGAGGGGATCTGCCTCCTTGGTTGCAGAGAGAAATAAGAGTGGAAAATGTGAGACACTGATTATAATTTTCCAATCCACCTTAGATGTGGGGACGTGCTGCCAGACTGAAGAACTGCAAACATCACATACACCTTTGTTCAAAAAAGTTATAAGAAAGGATATCAAAGGGGGTAATATAGACATGGATGGAGATTTCAGAAGCTGAAGAACTTAGGCAAAGAGAACAGCCAGGCGATACGGTACTGGAAATATGCAGAATTTGTGATGACATTAATGTATAATTGAAAGCTCAGCTTCAAGGCAAATATGACAATAAGGACGCATCAAACTCTTTGCAACCTCAGGCAGGTTTCAAATACAGAGGTGGGATTGACGACAAAGTAGCAGACTTGGTAGGGCAGGGAGCTGAAATAATAAGCAAGATTTTTACCATGGATGTGAGAAGCACAAGTTGGATAGTCTCCTGCCTGAGCAGATCTGCCTCCATGGAAATGAGCCCCATATGACTGAGACAGGTCGAGTGCAGCCACAGAGACAAACAGTGTGATGGCTCATTTGAAGATCCGACTGGTTTTCTGAGACTTCCATTCAGATTTATAAAATGTTGTCATCCTTTGTTCATCTATATACCATCACGCTCCTTTATGCCCCCTACCACTATCCCTTTGCCATTTCCATGTCACTTTATTCACCACTCCCCACCCCATGCCTCATCCAGAGCCACTCATCCAGAATTAATTATGAGTGAACTTCGGAAGCCATGTGGACATGAAAAACAATCTAAGAGTGATGTCACTCATGTACAGTTGTTGCCTCAAAATGACTCTCATTAATGAATCCCTTTCAAAGATTTTAAATTCCTTCAAGTAGTTAGTCTATTATAAAATTAAACTTATTTTTAGTAACCACTTTAAAGACAGCTAATCCTTTAATACTTCCTTTAAACTGCAAATTGAAATGTGAACTTGGCACTGCCACTTCTCTCCCCACTATCCCAAGCTGGAACAATGATTAAATATTTGTTCTTATTAGGTCCCCGATTTAGAAATTTACTTTGAATTGCTTATGATCTGTTGCCATAACTAAGTTTCTGCCGCACTTCCAGTGAAAATACAGTAGGTCTAAGGAAATCTCTGTCTTTGTAACTGTTCAAAGTACACAGATCTCTAACTCAATATGTTTGTTTTCCTCTAGGCTACTCTTGAGGAAGCTGAATTTGCCTTGGCCGATATAAAAAAAGCAGTCAATGAGTTTGAACGAGATATTGGGTCCTTCACCCAAGGCAAGAAGGGGAGCACAATTGTAACAGAGACTCTCTTTAAATATTTTGAGGACAAAATCCATGCCAAAGTGAGTCCTACATTAAGTTATTTTACTTAATCCTTAAATAGCAACTGTGAATAATAGGTAAATCTGGAATTAACAGCAAATTACTAAATGAAACAGTGGAATGATTTTCTGAATAGATGCTGTCATTCGGGAAACTGACCGCTGGCCAAATAGGTTAGCCAGGAAATGGCAAACTTACTGTCTGACTTCCTCTTCTTAGAGTCAAAGAGTACAGCACAGAAACAGACTCTTCGGTCCAACTCGTCCATGCTGATGAGTTAAATTAATCTAGTCCCATTTGCCAGCATTTGGACAATATCCCTCTAAACCCTTCCTATTCATATACCCACCATTCATTCAAACACAGCAGTAGCCTTCACCTCCTGATAAGTAAAGGGTGAAGTGGATAACAGAAAACAGCAGATCACGGACAGGTTGCTGAAATTGGCAGATGACATTTAACACAGAGAAATATGAAATAATGCATCTTGAAAAGAATTACACAAAGCAGTATAAACTAAATTTTAAAACAGATACAGGAACAGAGAGACCTGAATTTCATCTAACACAAATTTTTAAAACTGGCAGGACTAGTCCATTAACCTGTTTAAAAAAGCAAATGGGTTGCTTGGTTTTATACAAGAGGAAGAGAATACAACAGCAAGAAATTTAAGCTATTCTTTTATCACTGATAAGACCTTGACTAGAGTAGTGTGTCCAACCTGGGCATCATTTTCTTTTCATTCATTAATTCACAGTATGTGGATGGCGCTAGCTACAGACTAGAAATCATTGGCCACCCCACTAAAGCTGAGTGGCTTGCTACTCTATTTATGCTAATTATGCTGGATTTAGAATCACATATATTCCAGACTGGTAAGGATGGAAGCTTTCCTTCCCTGCAGAAAGTTAGTGGACCAAGTAGCTATTCAACCCAGTAAATACCATCGTCATCACTGATTGCCACTAACTTCCAATTCCAGACTTATTACATTAACTGAACTTAAATTCTCCAGCTGATGTGTGCTGTTGCAGTGCAGTGATAATGCCCCTACCTCTGAGCTAGGATGCCTAGGTTCAGTTCTGACCTGCACCAGAGCTGTGTAATAACATCTCTGAACAGGTGGTTAGAAATATCTTCTCCAACTGCTGTGTTGGGGTTTGAACTCACTTCACCAAATATTAGTCCAGCCCTTTGGATTACTAGTCCAGTGGCCATGGTCACTGGACAACCATACTCACTCTGTAAAGCATGCAGAGGGCGTTTACTAGCATGTCACTGAGAAGTAGAGGTTTCAGCTATCTGAAGAAACTAGAAAAGCTGGAATTGCTCTCCTTGGAATAGAGACTGTTAAGGAAATGTTTAATAGAATTTGTACAATTTTTTGTATTCATTGCACATTAGTATTCTTAGCAAGACCAACATTTATCATCCCTGACAAATTGGTGAGTTGCCTTCTTGAACCGCTGTACGTTCTCCAATAACGCGATAGCTGCGTTCTTCCATGACCTCACGCTATAGAAAATTACGCTATAGAAAACAAGCATTGAAAATCACCTTATCAGGAAATTGCTATACCTCTACAGCAGAAAGTTTGCATTATCCAAACAGCATCCACTATTCATCAATCGCGTTAAAGCCAATCCATGTTAACGAAACACGTGTTATAGCAGAACTATCTGTAGTCCATATGGTAAAAAGTCTCCTGCAGTGGTGTTTGTAGAGAATTCCTGATTCTGATCCAGCAACAATGAAGAAACTGCAATATATTTTAAAGTCAGAAAGGACTTGGAAGGATACTTGTGTTAAGTATCCTGCTGCAGCTAGGAAGTAAAGACTGTGGCCTTTAGGAGGTGATGATGATGAAGAAGCCTTAGTAAGTTGATACAGTACATCTTACAGATGGTACACACTGCTATCCCTGTGCACTGGTGATGGAGGGAGTTGGCGTTCAAGGGGGTGTATGGGGTTCCATTCAAGAATTATTTTTTATCGTGGATGCTGTTGGGCTTCTTAGGTATTGTTGGAGCAATACTCATCCTAGTAAGTGGAATTTCCTAACACATTCCTGACTTTAGCTCAGTAGATGGTGGAAAAGCTTTGAGGAGACATGTAGTGAGTTACTCATTACAGAATTTCCAGCCACTGACTTGCCCTCCTGACCATAATATTTATGTGGCCTTTGCAGTTCGGTTAATAGTGAGTCCCAAGATGTTCATGGTTGGAGATTCAGCAGTGATAATGCTATTAAACGTAAAGGGGAATTGATTAGACTTTTTCTAGTAGAGATGGCATTTTTGTGCTGAGGTTGTTACTTACCACTTATCAGCCCAAGCCTGAAAGCTGCTCAGGTCTTGTTACATGCAAAGTCAGAGTGATTCATACAAGTGAAACTGACCATTTAATTCATTTGTGAATGTTTCCACTTCTGACAGAGAGAGAGCCATTAATGAAGCAGCTGAAGATGGTTAAGGCTAAGAGAAATTAGGGCTGTTGTGCCAATGTGGTATTGTACCCACCTCTGGACTAGGAGGCCTGGATTCAAGTCTTATCTGCTCCCGAGGTCTGCTATAACATCTCTGAACCGGTTGATTAGAATTTACCTTCCCAGAGAAATTCCTGCAGTATCTCTTGGGATGACATGTTTGACCTTCAATAACCATAACTATTTCCCTTTGTGATGCCAATTCCAATCATTGAGGAGTTTTCCCCTCAGTCCCAATTGATTCAATTTTGCTAGAACTTCTTGATGTCACATTTGGCCACATATTACTTTAATATCAAGGGCACTCTCACTTCATTTCTAGAATTCAGCTTTTAAAACAAAAATCACTGATGGGATGTGGGCATGGCTGTACAAGCCAGCATTTATTGTCTATCCCCAGTTGCCCTTGAGAAGGTGGTGGTGAGCTATCTTCTTGAACAGCTGCAGTCTGTATGTGGCAGGTAGACCTATGATGCCATTTGGGAGGGAATTCCAGGATTTTGACCCAGTGAAACTGAAGAAACGATGATATACTTTCAAGTCAGGATGGAGAGTGGCTTGGAAGAGAACTTGCATTTGGTGGTATTACCATGTATCTGCTGGCCCTGTCCTTCAAGATGGAAGTAGGCGTGGATTTAAAAGGTGCTGCCTAAGAAAACTTGGTGGATTTCTGCAATGCATTTTGTAGATAGTAGCAGCAGTGTGCACAGTTAGTTGGTGGAGGGAGTGAATGTCATGCCAGTTAAGTGGGCTGCTTTGTCCTGGATGGTGTCAAGCTTCATAAGTGTTGTTGAGGCTGCACTCATCCAGGCAAGTGGGGAGTATTCCATCACATCCCTGACTCATGCCTTGTAGATGGTGGACAGGCTTTGTGGAGTCAGGAGGTGAATTACCCACTATATAATTATTAGTGTCTGACCTGCTTTTGTAGCCATTGTGTTTATATGGTTAGTCCGTTTCAGTTTCTGGCCAATGATAACCACCAGTACATTAATAATGAGGGATTCAGTGATGGTAATGCCATTGAGTGTCAAGGGACAACAGTTAGATTCTCTCTTGTGAGATGGTCATTGCTTGGCATTTGTGTGGTGTGAATGTCGCTTGCCACTTTTCAGTCCAAGCCAGGATATTGTCCAGGTTTTGCTGCATTTGGACATGGACTGTCTCAGTATCTGAGGAGTTGCAAATGGTTCTAAACATTGTGCAGTCATCAACAACGGGCCCACTTCTGATATTATAATGGAGTGAAGTAGCTCAAGGACACAACCTGAGGACCTCCTGCAGAGATATCCTGGAGCTGAGATGATGAACTTACATCACCTACAATCATTTTCCTTTATGCTAAGTATAATGCCAACTAATGGAGAGTTTTCCCCCCATTTACCATTGATTCCTGTTTGGGAAGGGCTCCTTGATGCCACACTTGGTCAAATGTAGCTCAATGTCAGAGGCAGTTACTCTCACCTCACCTTTGGAATTCAGCTCTTGTCCATGAATGAATCAAAGCTATAATGAGGTTAGGAGCTGAGTGGCCTTGGCGGAATCCAAACTGGGTGTCACTGAACAGGTTATTGCTAAGCAGGTGCTGCTTGATCATGTCACGAAGAGGGGGTAAGGTTGAACCCCTCTGATAATTAACCCGAAACACCAGCCTCAATCTGTTATGGTGGGAATAGAGGTTCCCTCTACTAATTAAACCCGAGACACCCAGAGAAGCTCGCCCAGCCCCTCATAATCTGTTAAAAGAGTAGTTAAATGAAAGGAATCCCTGATACTCACTTTATAAGCAACAAGTATCAATTTACATATTTAACCCTAACAGTGAACAGATCAACAGAACTACTAACAAACCAAACAATTTCCCTCTAACTACTATTTCCTAAATAAACAAGATTCTAATAGTATGCTGTTCCAATAAAAACAGGTCCCATTTATTTAAATCCAAATAATAAGAAAACAATAAATTAAAACTTAAGTCTCCCAAATATCACACAGAATGTGTCTTCCGGAATGCTTTGCCTTCTCCACTGTCTCTCCAGTCATAAATGCCTTTCTTCTGCTGTTGTCAAGTCATAAATGCCTTTCTTCTGCTGAAGTTTGTTGGAAATGCTTCCTCCTTGTCTTTTGCACTGACTTGATGGGTTCTCCCATTGTTGAAATTGGGGTTATTAGTGAAGCTTTCTCCTCCAAAGAGTTGTTTATTGATTGTCCATCATCATTCTAGGCAGGACTGCAGAGCTTAGATCTGATCTGTTGGTTATGGAATGCTGAGCTCAATCACTTGCTGCTTATGCCATTTGGCATACAAGTAGTGTTGTGTTTAAGCTTTACCAGCTTACACCATATTTTAGGTATGCGTGATGCTGCTCATGGCATGCCCTTCTGCATGTTTCATTGAACCAGAACCCTGGTAGAGTGGGAGATGTACTGGGCCATGAGGTTGTTTATTGTGTTGGATTATGATTCTGCTGCTGCTGATGGTCAATGATGCCTCATAGATGCCCAGTCTTAGTCTAACCCATTTAGCATAGCGATAGTGGCACAAAACATCTTCAGTGTGAAGGCTGGACTTTGTCCCCACAGGGATGGTGTGGTTGTCACTGTTACCGATACTGTCATGGACAGATGCATTGGTGAGGGTGAGGTCAAGAATGTTATTCTGTCTTGTTGGTTCCTGCACCAGTTGCCGCAGACCCAATCCTTTAGGACTTGATCAGCTTTATCAGGAGTGCTGGTTCCCAAACCATTTCTGATAGTGGACACTGAAGTCTGCCACCCAGACCATGTTCTGCAACCTTGCTACATTCTGTGCTTCTTCCAAGTGATGTTCAACATGGAGGAGTACTGATTCATTAGCTGCGGATAAGCAGTACATGGTAATAGGTGGTTCCTTTGCCCATGTTTGAACAGCTGCGATGAGACTTCATGGGGTACGAAGTCAATGTTGAGGACTCCTAGAGCAGCACCCTCCCCATATACCACTGCGCCTGTCACCTCTGCTGGGTCTGTTCCACCAGAGGAACAGGACAGACCCAGGAATGGTGATGACTGGGACATTGTCTGTAAAGTATGATCCCATGAGTATGATTACGTCAGGCTGTTACTTGACTTGTCTGTGAGACAGCTCTCCCAATCTTGACACTACCCCCCAGATGTCAGTAAGGAGAACTTTGCAGGGTCAACCGGGCTGTCTTTAGCATCATTTTTTCCAATGCCAGGTGGTCCATCTGGTTTCATTCCTTTTTGTAATGAGACTTTCTGGTGATAGAAACTGACTTCTGATAGAACTGGGTGCAGGGCTGGATGAACACAGCAGGCCAAGCAGCATCTCTAGCATCTGCAGTTCCTACTATTTCTGATAGAACTGACTTGGTAGACCATTTCATAGGTGTAAAAATTGATCGTGGTTGATTAGCATAGAAATTCTGAAATACACAGCTTCGAAAAGGGAAAAGCAGGTTAACATTTTGAGACAAAGATCTACTTTGAAAGCATTAACTTGCAATTTGTTATTTACTAGTGTTAATTAAACTGCTCTGTCTTCTAAACCTTTACTGTTTCTGTTTCAAATTTCCAATATTTGTCATTTTATCTGTAGGATTGAGAGTAAAGATTTATACCTTCACCAATCTCATTAGCCATTGGAGCTCTTGCATCAGTTCTGAACATGTCTTCACAAATGAAGATACCAAGTCATCTAGTAGTTAATATTCTCAGTAAATGTTTTGTGTAATGACCAGTGCTAGCTGAGGACTGTTTTATACATTGACCTCTTAAGTGTCTGATTATATTTCTTTCTCCTCAGGAAATGCTGATTGATAAGCTGCAACTGAAGAATCATGCTTGGAAGATGCTCAAGGCGAAACTGCACCAACAGCTCCGATTGGTTTGTAAAGCGAGGGTGGCAGGCAGGAGCACAGCTATCACTACATTAACTCTGAATAACTCTCCTCCGTGAATCAATTTTCTCATCATCCTTTCTTACAAATGCAATAGTGAGGCAGAGAATTGCCTCTTTAGTTTACAACAAAAATCATTGAAATTCTTTATTTGAAAGAGAGCACTTTGGGAGGTTCGGAGGTCTTGAAAGGCACCAGATAAATGCATGTCTTTTTTTCAGTGAAGAAAAGTTGTGTATTTGACACCTCACCATATCTTTCAAAATACTACACATACACTTGAGTTACTTGAAAACAAAGTGACTCTTGTTATATAAGCAAATATGGTGCAATTTTGTGCACAGCAATATTCCATGAGCATCGATAACCATTTGAACATGGAAAATATAAGGATATAGTTGGTAGAAAGTAGATGCAGTATAACATCAACTTTTATATGACACCTTTAATTTAGTAAAGCATCCTGAAGCACTTCACAGGACCATTACCAGGTAAAATTTAGCACAGATGCACATCTAGAGCTGTTAGAACAAATAACCAAACAGCTGGTCAAAAAAGTTGGTTTTATAGATCATTGCAAAGGAGGAGAGGGAGCTTGAGAGGCAGATAGTTTCAGGAAGGGAATTCCAAGGCTTGGATAGCTGAGGTTTCAGTTACCAATGGTGAGGTGATGAAGTTGGGAATGCTCAAGAGGCCAGAATTGGAAAAACACAGAAATCTGAGAGTTGTAGGCTGAGGGAATTGACAAACAAAATGAGGGATAAGAGCATGGAAGAATATGAGCGCTAAGATTTGTATTTCAGATTCTATCCTCAGACTAAGAGCCAATGTGTCAACACCACAGCAGAGAAACTTAAATATGCAAGACTAGAGCTAACAAAAGCATTGTAGCAAGAGATGGGCTGAGGCAGAGGTGAAGACCGGGAATAATATAAAGGAGCATAAAACAGCTGTTACAGTGCAGATATGAGGTTGGACTTTCAGTTCTGGGTAAAAACAGCTGTAACAGAGCAGATATGAGGTTGGAATTTCAGTTCAGGGTAAAAACAGCTGTAACAGAGCAGATATGAGGTTGGAATTTCAGTTCAGGGTAAAATTGTATGGAAACAGTGCAAACGTTCTGGTTTAGCATCACACAGTAGCCAGGGAGAGTTGGTGAATACGGAATGGCATTTGTGATGGACTCCAAACACAATGGCTTCAGGCTTCCCAATATCTGCATAGTTCAATGATCGATTTTCCTCTGCTTTTGATTGTGTTGGTTGAGAGAAGAATGTTGGTCAGGACACCAGAACTCTCCACTCTTTGAATACTGTTATGAATTCTTTAGTCTTTACTTGAACAATCAGACCAGTCAGACAGTCTTGATTTAATGCTGGTAAGTTTAAACTTCTACTTGAAGTCAGTGCCTTTTGAAAAGAGCCAGTGAGTTGTTGGCATCTGACAGGTGTTTTGCCACAGCTCATAATTTTTGGGAGAATGGTTGGGTCTTATGGTGAGCTGGTCAGCAGGTTCAATCAGGGATCTTGTGCATGCATGCATGCTTATGTGAATTTACTAACTATGCCTCCTAAATTCTCATCCAAAACCTTTATATAAGTGGCAAAAAATAGTGGAGTACAGTATGCAGCATGAAAAGTGACATTAAAGTACAGAGGAAGAATATGATAGAGACTCAAAAGCCCTGTTGATACATTTCAGAGATGTGAAGCAAGCAAACATCAAAGGAAATTATGCCATGCCATTGCGTTGTTATATACAGGTTTCGAACTACTATTTTTCACTATTAGTTTCCATCTTGAGTAGAGAACAAGAACTTATTCATCACTTTAATGTAGCTTGCCTTTGAGTTAAGGGGGTTGCGTTCTACTTGTGTCTCAGATCTTGATTACATATTCAATGTTTACACTTTGGTGTTGAACTGAGGCAGTGATGCATCATCAGACATGCAATTCTTTGGATGAAACAGTGAATTCTTTTCTGTTCAAGTGGTTATTAATATTTGAATAAGGGCAGAGAACTCTTGAGAATGTACAGTGTAGAAACCATTCCAATTGTCCAAAACGTAATGAGCCATTCATTAGACTCGTACATGCCCTGTTCTATAAGTTTTTCATAGCATGTTCTCATTGGTGAAAAGTCCAACCATTACAGCATATTCCACAGGATCTAGGATGAGTGCAAACAGGGGATGGAACTGTGAACTACTTAACTAATTAGATTTAAGAATTATTATTTAGCAGCAGTGAGTCTGAATCAGGAAATTTAAGTTAGAATAGTGAATTTAATGTCAACAAGAACAGAAAACAAAATAAAAAGCAGAAAAAGGAAGCAGGAAAGTAAGAGACAGAAGAGACAGAAAGAAAAAAAGTGATTTTAAATCTCTTGCAGTAATTAAAACTTGAAGAAATGATTCCAAATTTACAAAAAAACAACTTATACTATCAGAGAAGTTATATTGCAGTCGTTAAGATTAATCATGCCATTAAAAATTACTCAGGTAGAAATGGACAATCCCCTCAGTGAGTTTACTCCATATCTGCAACATCAGACCAGGATCTTCCTGCTATTCAATGCATTTAAATGGGTAGCCTGATGATGATATGCCATTTTCGCACTGCTTATGGATGTTGTATCTGACACAGTAATTTCCAGATTTTCACAAGTAGCTGCTTGCTAGAAGATCTTGTTTCATTTGTGTATTAAGAACTGTCATTGCCATTAGTTTCTCAAATACTTTCATAGCACTATTCAGCCAAATATGTGCTACACAAATGTAAATTTCTTCTTTTTTAACCACTGTTTCTCCACCTGCAGCTAGCTTTAAAGACTGGCTTTAGAGTAGCATTGTCAGAGCTTGGGATGAAGATTTTCCATCCCTTGTGTCTATCGTGCTATGATATATGGTGCGGAAGAAGGGGTAAAAACAATAGGACTAACCAGAAAAAAAAACCCATAATATTCTTTGAGTATTTGTCTCTTTCCGTAGAAAGAGGAAGCTGGGGAAGTGCTCCGGGAGGTTGATTTTCATCAGCTTAAGATTGAAAACAGCCAGTATTTGAAGCAAATTGAACAATACAATCAGGACCTCTTGCAGCTCAAAGTCATGACCGGGAAGACACAGCTGGTTCTCAATTCTTATAAAGTAAGTTTTAATTAACACAGTGCAGTATATGCTCAGATGTTGTTTTGCTGAAATTAGTTGATGTCAGTTCACTAGGTTGAACTGGAAAGACAGAGGACTGGATAGAGCAGTGAATTCAACTTTCAGATTTGAGATATGACTTTGGTGGTTAAAGCTCCTTCTTTCCTACTTCGAGTCCAAAGTGAAAAACTGTGCTGAACTCAATTTCTATCCAGTTCCTACTGTTCGACTGTAGGGCCACAAGATATTGGAAGAGAATTAGGCCATTTGGCCCATCGAGTCTGCTCTGCTATTCAATCATGGCTGATATGTTTCTCAACCCCATTCTCTTGCCTTCTCCCTGTAACCTTTGTTCCCCTTTCTAGTGAAGAACCTATTATTTCTTAACATACTCAATGATTGGTCTCCATAACCTTCTGTGGTAATGAGTTCCACAGATTTGCCAAACTCTGGCTGAAGAAATACCTCCTTATCTCAGTTCTAAAGGGTTGTCCCTTCACTCTAAGGCCTTGCCCTCAGATCCTAGTCTCTCCTAGTAGTGAAAACATCTTCTCCAATGTTCACTCTATCCAGGCCTGTCAGTATTCTAAGTTCCAATGTGATACCCCCTCATCCTTCTAAACCCCTTCACTCTAAACTCAAACAAACCCAGAGTCCTTAACCGCTCCTCAAATGACGAGTCCTTCATTTCCTGGGATTATTCTTGTGAACTCCTCTGGATCCTCTCCAGCACCAGCACATTTTTCCTTAGAAAGGGGACCCAAAACTGCTCTCAGTATTCCAAATGCAGTCTGATCAGAGCGTTATACAGCCTCAGCAGTATATTCTCTGCTCTTGTACTCTAGCCCCCTCAAACCGAACACTAACGTTGCACTTGCCTTCCTAACTGCAACTGAACCTACATGTTAACACTAAGAAAATCCTGAACTAAGTCTCTTTGTGCTTTAGATTTCTGAAGCCGTTCCACATTTAGAAGAAAGTCTGTGACTATTCTTCCTACCAATGTGCCCAATCTCACACTTCCTCACATTATATTAAACTGCCACTTCTTTGCCCACTCTCCTAGTCTGTCCAAGTCTTTCTCCAGCTTCTCTGCCTCAACAATACCCACCCCTCCACCTATCTTTATATCGTCTGCAAACTTAGCAACAACTCCCTCAGTTCTTTCATCCAGATCGTTAATGTACAACGTGCATAGTTGTGGTCCCAAGATTGATCCGTGCAGAACTCTACTAATCACCAGCTGCACACTGAAAAAAACCCCTTTAAACCCATGCTCTGCCTTCTGCCAGTCAGCCAATTCTCTATCCATGCTCGTACCTTGCCAACAACACCCCGGGCTTCTATGTTATTTAGCAGTCTCCTGTGCAGTACCTTGTCAAAGGTCTTCTGGAAATCTAAATCACTTCCACTGGCTCTCCTTTTTCTAACCTTCTTGTTATCTCCTCAAAGAATTTGAACAGATATGTCAGGCATGACCTCCCCTTGACAAAGCCGTGCTGACTCAGCACTATTTTACCATGCCTTCCAAGTACTCCATAATCTGATCCTGAATAATGGACTCTAAAGTCTTGCCAACGAAGAAGGTCAGGCTAACTGTCTTACAATTTTCATCTTCTGCCTTTCTCCCTCCCAAACAAGGGTGTTACATTAGCCATTTCCCTGTCCTTTTGGACCCTCCCTGACTCTGATGATTGCTGAAAGATCACCACCAATGCCTCCACAATCTCCTCAGCTATCTCCTTCAGAACCCTAGGGTATAGTCCATCTGGTCTGGGTGATTTATCCAACTTCAGACCTTTCAGTGGCCCCAGCACCTTCTCATTAGTGATGGCCACGACACTAACCTCTGCCCCATGACTCTCTTAAGTTCTATTTGTGTCTTCCATTGTTAAGACTGATGCAAAGTACCTATTCAGTTCCTTTGCCATTTCTTTGTTCCCATTACTACTTCTCCAGCCTAATTTTCCACCAGTCCAATGTCCATTATGACAGGCCCACAGTGCTAAATTATGCAGAAAAGTGTCAGCTTCACTCTATAACGGCCAAAATGGTACAGAAAGTGGCAATTTTCTGAGATGTTAGGCCTTGTTCATTTTTGAACAAGTGAGGAGTGAGATCCCCCTTGTATTTAATGGTATTACACCTGATTTTGAAATGCTTGATCCTGATATATGAGGATTCAAATTATGGAAGGTTTAGGATCTGATGGGAATGGATGGTTGAGTGAGGTGAATATACTGATTGTAATTATAGCAAATGGGATAGTTACTAGGTGGTCCCTACCTCTGGGCCAGGAGGCTTGGTTTTTAGTCCCACCTGCTCCAGGCGTGTGTAATAACAACACCAAATAGGTTGATTAGAAAATATCTAGCTAGCAGGTACTTTGGTAGCTTGAGAAGGGATTGGAAGACCATGGGACATGATGAGTGATGTTCAAGACTGGTAAGATTGAGTGGAGAGATATTATGGCTGGAAGCAGAGATTCAGATATGAATGGGTTATGGTTGAGTGTAACAATAAAGATTCAATGTGTTTATTGGGGAATTGGAAGGCATCCAATTAAAACAAATTGTATTGCTAAAATCTATTCTGCTCTCAAATCCCTTGGTCACTTTCCTTTTCCAGAGGCAGTTGAATAGAATGTCATCAGAGACAAAGCAACTCATCAGTGAAATAAAATCCAGACAGGACCTGCTTAAGAAGATTGAATTTGAGACTACAGAAGTGGAAGAAGTAAGTGGTAAAGAATCTTTTCTCTAGAAATTACTGACCATGATTTTTAATTTTAAAAATTGCTGTGGAATAATTAGAGAGAAACCTTGAATGGCTGTTGCAAGATTCATGGATTTATGATGGTCATGGAGTTCAACAATTAATCATTTCCACAGAATTAAAGGTGAACTTGCCAACAAACATAAACAGTCTATATAAATGCAATAATTGAAAATGCAATCAATAATTTGCCTCCTCTCCCTTATCCACCTCACCCCCAAAAAATGGCACAACTCGCTAGGGTGCAGTTTTCTAGGTTTCTGACTGCTTCACTAAAGGTGTATGGGGTAATTACAGTGTAGATGAAAAATTCCATGCCTGGAGGGAATGAGGAGGCTTTCTTGATATTGTTGAGCTCCTTGATTCCCATAGTACTTTGGCATCCATATCATCAGGCCCGGGGATTAATGCACTTGTTTCCCCGCTGAAACATCTAATACTCTTCCTTACTAATCTTAATCTTAACCTCATCATCCCAACTGATCCCAGGCAGTAATGTCTTTCTCCTCTGAACTGTGTTGCCTGAAATCAGCTAACAGTATAAATTAGGAATTAATCCACCACATTCACCAAGACAGCAGACAGGGCCTCATCTTAACATTGTGAGAAGTGCATTCTTCTAGATACAACATGTTATTCACTCAATACTCTACTGAAATGTCAACCAAGATTATGTGCTTGTGTCTAGAATGGGGTTCGACCCAAATCTTTCTGCATGCTATCCAAACTGTTTTTATTGAGTGACCAGGAAGAGTAACGTAGCTTACAATCCAACATAAATTGCAGAACTCCATAGTTTAGTTGATCTTACACATTCTCTTTACCACTAGTTTTCTTCAATACCCTGCACTCCTCTTTTTCCTCTTGCAGCCATTTGATCTTTGGTAGTGAACACCTCCTTGGGTAATAGGTGTCTTGATACCTTGTGTAAATGGCCATACTTTTAGATTTAAGACTAGACAGGAAAGTGAAAGCAGACTATTCCACCTATGGGGAATCATTACCTGACTTGATTGAGTCTTCATGCATTATCTGCACCTGGGCATTTGTAACATCACATGCTGGATAGCAGTCAGACATGTACAGATGACCTCTTTTGAAATGGCCACAAATATCGCCATAATCCACGTCACTCAAACCCTTAAAATACTGTCCCAGTTTTTAAAGAATCAGAGTAAAAGCTCATGACCTGTATTTCTCCTAACAAGCCACTGCCCCACCAGGTCAACCTTGCATGTTCAGAACTCAAACTGATCACTCTCCCACTCCTGTTACATGCATGCTTTTTTCTCTAGGACTTTCTCATGGAGATCATTTCACTGCCAAAACTGTTTTGTCTAAGGACATTACTCCTATCTGAAATATGAAAGCAAAATAGGGATTTAGGAACAGGAGTAGGCCATTCTGCCTGTTGAGCCTGTTCCACCATTCAGTAAGATCATGGCTGATCTGTGGCCTAACCCCATATACTTCCCTGTGGCTCGTATCCCTTAAAGCTTTACTTAACAAAAAATTATCAATCTCAAATATAAAATTAATAACTGATGCAGTATCGACTATCATTTATGGAAGAGAGTTCCAAACATCCACAAGCCTTTGTGTGTAGAAGTGCTTCCTAACATCTGTCCTGAATGGTTGACCCGAATTCTCAGATTTATGCCCCCTGGTTCTAGAATCCCTAACCAGTGGAAATAGTTTATCTTTATCTACACTATCTTTTCCTGTATATTTTGAAGATTTCAATCAGATTACTCTTCTAAATTTTAGAGAGAACAGGCCTAGTTTGTATAATCTCCCTTCATAACTTAACCCCTGAAGTCCAGGTATCATTCTTGTAAGCCTGTATTCTACTCCCTCCAAGGCCAATATATTCTTCCTAAGGTGTGGTGCCAAGATATATTCATTGTACTCCAAGTGGGGTCTATCCAGGGTTTTTTTTTAATAACTGCAACAACTGTTTGCACATGTTAAAGTTCAGATGAGTTTTCATTATATAAATTGATTCTATGTTTTTCATCTACAGGATAAAGCCAAAGGAGAGGAGCTAAACAGGAAGTTTCGTGATGACATTTCTAATTACAGAGTTCCAGATGTCCTTGAATATGTGCGTGAGACATGGAACCGCTTTGACCTAGAGAAGAAAGTGAAAACCTGGGAACGTAAGGTGGATATTGCAGAGGTGGGTGTCACTGTGTCTGGGTTTGCAAATTAATGAGAGGCAGTGCTATTGTCAAAAGCTATGCATTTGTATGCAAAGGGTGATTGGTGTTGGGATGTCAGCCTCTGAAGAGTTATTTCTGCAAGTAACAGCAACAAGTCCCCAGGACCAGATGGTTTTCAATTTAGGACCCTTCAATGCTTGACATAGAGGGAGAAACCATGGGTTCTGGAACAGTCGGAAAGGCTTTCGAGGAAGTGGGCACATTTTACTCCCGCACTGTTTGCAAATTTGCAGCTTTCATACGGTCCACATACTTGTTCAGGACCGTCACACGTATCCAGACTTGATATGTCACTGGACCTGACCTCGACATGCCTCTTACCCATGCAGGTCTATTCCTGTAGTTCCTGCACCAAACTTTGTCCCCTAAAGTAAACTGTCTCTCTTGCTTAATGGAATCTTCTGTCCAGCATTGGCATTCCTGATGCCATTTCACCATCCTCCATAGATCCAGGAAGATCAGATTTGACTTGGTGCAGAGTCTTCTCCCCATTAGAAACTCTGCTGGAGTTATCCCTGTAGTTGCATGAGAGGTGGCCCCATTATCCAATGGTCTAGCAGAAAGACCAGTCCAAACTTTGAAGGTGGGCTTAAAGAAACAGCATACAGCTTCACTAGATACCAAACTGTCCCGGTTCCTGTTTGATTATAGGACCACCCCTCATGCAACTAGGATAGAAGACTCTGTTAAGTGAGAGAGACAGTTTAATTCAGGGCATGATGTTTGGTGTAGAAGCCAAGGGAATGGCCCTGCATGGGTAAGAGGGATGGTTGACACGAGCTCAGGTCCAGTGTCATATAAAGTTTGGGTAGGTGCGACAGTCTTGAACAAGCACATGGACCATGTGAAAGCTGCAAACTTGTAAACAGTGCAGGAGCAAAATGTGCTTATCAACTGCCTTTCTGATTGTTCTGGAACCCATGGGCTCTCCCTCTCCGTCAATAGTTGAAGAAACTACGGACTCTAAGGTGGACATGGTGGATTTCACCGCCTCATTGCCTTTGCCACCTGATGAGAATGAATTTTTTCTGAGACGCTCCAGACGCACCACCCATATCAGAGGAAGAGTTAAAGGAACCCGACTGGTGCTAAAATGCTCCAGAAGGAGGTACAAAAAAAAGGACTATGTCCTCAGGCTCAGATGGGGAGGGACATAGTGATTGTAATGAGGTTAGCCAGGTGGACCTCATAGTTCTCTGATTGAGGCTATTAATCTGGTCCAATCAGGGAGCCCTGGCAGATAATAAAATTATTGATGCCTTAATGTCAAACTGCAGACTCTCCTCACCTTAAGACACAGTTTATTTTGTTTGTGATATTGGACTCCATAAAATTAAATTGCTGACATATGTCATCACATGAGAAAGCCTACTAAATTACTTTGAATCCACAAATTTTGCAGATAATGCAATGGGTAACAATGAGCAAATACCCTTCAGAAAGTCTGACTCAGAAGGACCAGTAAAGTCATGTAAGGGTGTAGAAAAAATTCAAGAAAAAAATGGGTTTTAAAAGTTTAGGAAGACTGTTAAGAGCTGGTAGGATTATTACTGATGCCAGTCCTACTCAGTATTTCTGACCGTTTGTGTTTTTATTACTGATTTCCAGCATCCGATGTATTTTGCTTTTATGATAGTGACATTGCAATTTGCTAAATCGTCCTTCTACAAAATTGGTGCTGTATGTGTCCACATAATAAGTTACTACGCTTAAAACTAATTCACTGTTTCTGAGGCTCATTAAAGCGCTTCTGAGCAAGTTGTTTTCTGAGACGTATATTAAAGTGCTCTGGCCTTTCGAAGAAATAACGTCGATAAATTAGTTAAAGCAATACTGATGACATACACTCAGCGATTGGAAAGCAAAGAGGATAGAAAAGGCAAAAAGAAAGAGAAATTGCCAGAAAAAGTAGGAAAAAATGATAAATAGTTGAGGACAGAATGATATGGAGCTGAGAAACATTGTAGTTGGGCCCTCTTAATAATAGGAGAGGCCACACACCAGCCTGCACACTTCAGTGGTGAGAAAATTTCATACAATTTAATTGGAGGTGGGTACAGACCCTTGGAAAAAATTTGCTTATCTGAGGTGAGTTGTTGATTTGACTCATTATTGATAGCACTTAATCTCATTAAACCTCATCCTTTGAAACGTTGTGGGTTTCCCATCAGTTCTGTAACTCATGAGCTGAACCCATATCAAGTGGATTAAATTATGCCCATGGTTTTTAATCTTTACTGTTGTGTGGAAAATGATCTTTAATTATCTTGCTACCCGCTTTACAATTCCTGAATTCCATTGACTGTTTGCAGAACAAATTAGAAAAGCAGCTAGGTTACAAAATGGACATTTGGCCGCTTGAACCTGCTCCAGCATTTAATAAGATCATGGTTAATCTGTTTGTGTTTCAAATCCCGCTTTCCTATGTACTCTCAATAATCTTTGATGCTATTGCCTAACAAAAATCTATCTGCTGTTGCCTTAAAAATATTCAATGACACTGCCTCCACTGACGTCTGAGGCAGACAGTTCCAAAGTTGCACAACACTCTGAGAAAAATCTCATCTTTGTTCTAAATTTGCGATCCCTAAAGTTAAAACAGTGTCCCTAGTTCTGGACTCACTCACAAGAGGAAACATCATTTCCAAATCTACCTTGTCAAGACTGTATTTATATTCTTTAATCAAGTTAGCCCTCACTGTTCTAAACTCCAGAGAAAATGAGTCGAATTTATGCAGACTTAAAAGACAAGTTGCTCATTCACGTATCAATTTCCAATGTATTTACATCCTTTCTTAAATAAGGAGACCAAAACTGCACACGTGTGTTCGAGATGAGATCTTAACAAACCTATATAACTGAAGAATAGCATCCTTACCTTTCTAATTCTTCAAATAATAAAGGATAGCATTCTACTAGTTTTCTTAATTACTTGATATATCTGCATTTTACCGTCTTGTGATTCATGCATTAGAAAACCAAAACAGCTCTGCACCTTGGAATTCTGCAGTCTGAGGATAGGCTGTCCACCAATATCCATTAGAAGCCTACCAACATCCACAGTTACCTCAACTGTACCTCCTACCACCCTGCTTCCCGCAAGGCTTTCATTCCATTTCCCAATTTCTCCATCTCCGAAGCATCTGTTCTGACGATGCCACCTTCCACTGGGCTGCTTCCTTAAGTGATGATTCTCCCTTTGTTGACAGGACCTTCAGCCATGCCCAATCCATCTCGTGCACTTCTGCGCTCACCCCTTCCCTTTCTTCCCAGAACCATGATAGGGTTCCCTTTGTCCTTACTTTCTACCCCATTTAGTCTTTGTATTCTAAGGATCATTCCTGGCATTTCCACCACTCCCAACAGGATGTCACCACCAAACACATCATCCCCTCCTAACACTGTCAGCATTCCACAGGGACCATTCCCTCCATGACATACTGCTCTATTCCTCCATTACTCCTAACTCTCCTTTTGCTCCCCCATTGAATGGCTTCCTGGACCATGGTATCATGGTCGGTTAGCTCATTCACCTTGCAGCCCTCACTTTCAGTCAACAAGCTGAAAGTTTTCAAATCTGTTGGACAATTTCAAAGTGTAAATTACTCGGCTCAATCGTAATCACACTCATCTGTCACTGACCGTTGGCCAAATCAGATGACCCTATTCGAAAGAGTATGGCTGCTCCCTGGAATAAAGTGTCCAGATAACTTTCCCCTTTGCTGACATGGCTCACATCTACAGATTGGCCTTAGGTCATCTGAGTATAAACCAGAGTTCTTGTAGCTGCAGATGTGTTTACCATGGATCACACTGGCATCCAGATGTCCCACATCCCACAGTCACAGCACATCACTGCCCTGCACTTTTATTATGTGTTAATTAATCATTAATGACAACTCATTTTCTGTCCACCAATAAAACTAAAAACCATATTAAATTTTGTTTCAAACACAATATTGTACAGTTCTCAAATAGCATTTTGTTTAAAGCATTTAATTAATAAAATCTCCTGTCATGAGATGTTGCATGAAGTTATTAAAAAAAAGTGAAAACCCACCCCACAGAGTGTCACAGATAAAAGAAGGGAAAGGGAGACTTCTGTGTAAGTCAGAAAAACAGTGTGTTGCACAAAGATTATGCAGAAACAGAACAGATAGTTGCAGGAAAAGTAGTACAGTATTTTGAGCTTCAAGTAATCAATTAACACATTTCTTTAAATATCTTTTTCCAGCTTGCACATAAAACCTATAGTAAAACCTGGGAGAGCATAAAAATGTACAATGATCAGGATCAGGACTTAAATAAAACCAACACAGTCACCAGGATATGAAGAACTTCTGGAACTAGAACTTACCACAAACTCAACTAAGTACCATTCACATGAATAGAAAGGGGTTTCCTTAGAATGAAAAATTAATTTAATCTAGCTGCAAAAGAAGTCATGTTTTATGCTGACAGACTGATTAAATTGCTATTTCAAATAAATAAAACCAGCCTTTGATTCTTTGTTTTGTTGCCTTATTCATGTTGTTAATTAACAGTGGAAACTATTAACCTGTGAATATGTCAAAATGTTGTAATGTGCTGTTCTTTTCATGAGTTCCTCCTCAATAAACACACTCCAATATCATGTAAGAATAGGGAATTACTTCCAAGCAAAGCTGCATCACTATACTGTAGGAATACCTCATAAGTGAGAATACTAGATATATTCCCAGCAAAGTCAAGTCGCTGTGCAATAAAAATGAGCATGTCTTTGTCAGTTTAAAAATGTTTGCGTTCGGGATTGGTCAAATGAAACAAACATCAAAAAAAATTCAGGTCAAAGCCAAATAAATACTCATAGGGATAGCAAGAACTGCAAATGCTGAAGTCAGAGATAACACATTATGGATCCCATAACACAAACGAGATTTCTAAAGAAGAGTCCCGACCTGAAACATCAACTTTCCTGCTCCTTTGATGCTGCCTGGCCTGCTGTGCTTTTCCAGCTCCATACTCAATATTCGTAGGCATGGTCTCACAGATTCCCATAAAAAAAGGTTGTATGTGGATTAACCTTTATAGTGGAAGGGACAGATGTCTTAAAAAGACAAGATAACTTATAAACCTGCCTTCAGGCTGAAAATAGGTATGTAAGAATTAAGAGATAACAAGGTGTAGAGCTGGATGAACACAGCAGGTCAAGCAGCATCAGAGGAGCAGGAAAGCTGACATTTCGGGCCGAGACCCTTCTTCAGAAATTTTGAAGAATTTCTTAAGAAGGGTCTAGGCCCGAAACATCAGCCTTCCTGCTCCTCTGATGCTGCTTGGCCTGCTGTGTTCATCCAGCTCTACACCTTGTTATCTCAGATTCTCCAGCATCTGCAGTTCCTACTATCTATGTAA